CACTGATTAGAGTATCTGAAGAGTTCTCACAATTCTTCCACCTCCCTCGCCAGATCTCTAGCTCAGTTTGTAAACTACCTGAAATAAAGTAAAGAAAATCTACCTTAGTAATTAAGGCTTTATTTAATTAATAACGAAGCTAAAAGGTAAAGTAAAGTAAAACGTTAGGCAACCCATTAAAAACTTGAATGGAACAGATACAACAAATATGAAAGAAAACAACAAACAGAATATAAAAATGAAATTAAGAATACATTTACAACACTACCAATGTCTGGTTCATATTCCGAAAGTTGGTCCACCAATGTCGGTATCTCTTTCAAGTCCATCATTCTTATCACTGATGGTATCAACGACATGAATGCTGAAACAGCTGTGATAGATGAGTGCAGCCTTATTCCTTTCATACTGATTTTGTCACTGTCTTTCTAATCGGATGTCCACACGATCTGCAGGATTTTCTTCTGCGTGCTTTCTGTCACAGTATGCCGCCACTGCCAACTTATGTAATGTATTTGTTTCATGGTTTGGCAGCACCCCATCTTTGCCTAAAGCTTTTCCGAAATCTATAAATGGTCTTTCAACAAGAACGCCAAACTGACAGCCTCTACCATCGGGTTTGCGTGGGAATAGCACACAGGGTAAGCAGTATCCACCATTATTCTCCTTGGAGTACACAAGCCACGAAAATTGATCAAGTCAGGACAATTTAAATTGCAGATTTTTTTGCACTTGTGTTGTCGCACAGGGAAGGTGAACTTGTTATCAGGGTGAAAATGTTTCTTCATCAACTGCATCTTTTTATCATCAGTTTGTTTCGATTTATCAAACAATCCCAATTCATCGTACTCTCCATTCGGATCCAGATTTTCTGTCATTTTTGACGTGCTTGGTGAAGGCATGGCAGTTGCTTGGTCTTCTGTTGCCCCTAGGGTGCTTGTGTCAGCTTCCAGAGCGGGATTTTCTGAGAACTGATGAAAATCATCCTCAGAACTCGGTCTTGATTTCTTGATAAAATAATTTGTTATTGCCGTCTGTGAAGCTTTTCTTTTCTCCATAGTTTGGTACATAAAAAAAGACAGATATATTTTTAGGTATTGAAGGAAATATCGCTAATATATAATATGTAAGTAATATGTAAGTGGTCCTCCATTGTTTGCTTACAGTCGCAGCTTTGTTAGCACTGGAGTTGACTAAAAAGTAAAGTAAAAAAAATTATAAGTAAAGTAAAAAAAAAGTAAGTTGCTGCTTGGAATATTTCTTCCACGCGGTTATTCAAATGCAGCAGTCATTAAACTTCTTTTCCAAAAATATTAATTAAATCAAAATTCTCATTAGTAACAATCATCATCAAACTATGAGTGCTAGAATAAATATCATTATGCACATTTAGAAAATAAACCACGAAAAGTTATAGCAGTGAAATACTTGGTATTACTTTTCAAAGAAACTTAAGGTCTGTTCGATTATTGTTTATATAAATTCAACTTTACTGAGACTCTATCGTTATTATTTTTAATGATATCTAGAATGTTAAGTAAATATAACACCTTTGTTGGCATATGAGCCATAAGGTTTTCTTAGGTGAGGAATATTAAAAGGTACTTTGTTTAATGTAATTTTCATTTATCGGAGGAATTAATGGAATTTAATGTTAAATTTTCAAAAAATACATTTCATTCATAAAATCAAAAATGTGCACTCAATTAAAAATCTATTTTATAGCCTTTCTGCTTTAATCAATCGCTGACAAGCAATGGGTAGACTTTATGAATCTAGGCAAAAAACAACAAAAGAATCTCAAAAATAGCTCGTTTAAAACAAGCAATTTTTTTATAATAGCTTTTATACATTTGGCAAGAAAGTATATATTATAATAACATTAAAAAAATGATATGACCCGGTGGGTCAACAGTAAGTGTACAGATTTGCAATGCTAAAATTCGGGGTTCGATTCACTGCTGTGGACAGAGTGCATTGTGTAGCTTTGCGCTAAAAAACAACAAGGAAATACAAAAAAAAATGCAGTAATTACATTTCTTAATATAACATGAACAAAAGCATCTGGTCATCGTTAATTTGGGAATAATAAAATTACGCCAGTAAAGATGTACTTTGTTTTTTAAAATCGCTCTACTCATATAAGCATTTTGGATAGTAGTAAAAGGGTTGTAGCACGAAAGAAATGGTTTATGGCTAACAGATGGTGCTCCAGTTAATTAAATTTTGGCCGTTTGGTGTCACTGTTGTTGCGATCGACATAGACGAGCTGGAATAAATGAAGAGGCAGATAGTGTTTAGAGATCGGTTGGAGGGCAGAATTCTGATAGTAGTATTTAACTTTTAAGTTAACGGTAGCTGTTATGTTTATAGAGGATAAATAGTAATATATATGTAAGGACAAGCATATTATTAAATTACGTTAATGAGCAAACGTTAATGTATTTTATAGTTGTGCACAGCTGATGTTACTAAGTCACTCTGCCAGCCCCAGTATCAAGTAATGTGTTTACATCAACTGATCAAGTTCAGATTCTGGGATGTTGCAGTCAGCATAATTCAGGTAAACTAAATATCTATTGATATTGGGTACAGACTAGTAGCAGTACAGCTAGTCTATTTAACCAATTTAATTGTGATTTAATATTTTCACCACAATTTAAGACGGATAAAGGGTATTCAAATATATCTTATTGTTATTTAATTTATAACACTCAGTGACAGATAAACGCTTATAAAATTTGTAAGTTGTGTCAAATCCTAAAGTGTTTAGGTGTTATTGTATATAGCTTGAGCCATGATATAGCTATATGCAAGTTATGGCCAATTATGTTGTGTGAATAAATTTGTATTAAATCTGTTAAAAATGGATTTGCCTTTTTGGTATAATTGCAAAATGTAAGCCTTGTAAGGGAGATAGTAATTATGAGTTATTTGTATCTTACAGGAAGGAACCACAACCAAATTTTGTAGAAGATGCATTATAATGGAACAATGAGAATGCTGTATTCCTTGAGATGGTCTGTTGAAAAAGTATGGTCACTAGCATAATAAAATCCACAGTTGCGTGTATAACATTGTCAAGTTGCTAGGCTGGCTAGTGATAGTATGGCAGTAATGTGGAGAAGAGCTGTTGTATTGCTGGTATTGGTCATTGCTGTCCTTCAAGTAAGTAAATACTGTTCTTGTTATTTGTGTGTGTGTGTGTGTGATGTACCTAACAATTATGCAAAATTCATATATTAACTGTAGACGACCAGAAACAACTTGATTTGTTACTTAAAATGCTATGTGTCATGCACTGTGTTGAAAAAAACATCTTTTAATCAAAATTGTTAAGTCAGGATAACAGTTTTTGAAAGATTAATTCTGCTTGTTAAGCTATTATGAATTATTTATTAAGAACATAAGAAAAATGGTTATAGTTGTTACCACGTATATAAAGATCTTGTGTGCAAGTGCTTAATTGCAATGAATCACTTATATTCTAAATTTTATATGTACTAGAGAAGGTGAGTCCAAGCTTTATCTTCCCATCATAGCTTAATTTTCATAAATGGAGAGAATGAAGCATTTTCTTTTCAAAATTCATATAAAATTGCACACTGTAATTTAAAATTTTTATATTTAATTTATGTTCAAATTTACATAAGTAGATCTTGGCACTTCTTTAAGTTATTTTCATCATATCTTAACACCAATTTGAAGGTTTATGACACTTGTCAGTAATCACACCTAGATTTTTTTCCTTCTTCTAAAAGAAATAAGCTGTTCCCAATTTCTTCACTTTAATTGCATTTCTTCACAGTTTCAGTATTTAAAACTTATCTTTAATATTTTGCCCCATGTTAAGTTACACAAGATGCTTTAGAATTAAAGAAATATTCTTAATGAAATCAGTCTTCCTCAGCATATTAGTACTGTGAGAACTTAAGAACTACTATTTCCCAAGTAGCTACATAAATCATTGACAGTTGTTCAAAAAAAGATCTTATCAAACTCCATTTTAAACTTTTTTACTAATTCCATAAGAAATTAAGTAATATAGTTTCATAATAAATATTTGGTGTGCAAAGTGTAATTTATGCAATACATATTGAATTATCTCTAAGATTGTAACAGTTGAATGGCATTCTTGCAACTTTGCTTGAGTATTTGAAAAATACTCAAAATTCATCATTTTTTATCAATTTAACTTTAATTGTGTTTTTGTTATTTCTTTATCTACTTAAATTGTACAAAAGAAACATACATCATTTTTGCATCAAACATTCCCAGTGATGACTGCTTTAAAATATGCATAAATTTACATAAAAACTGTTAGATATGAGATGAGAATAGTTATTAAACATATGCTTTTTTCTCATGATTTGAATATACAGTAATATAAAAGTACAGTGAAATGAAAATAAAGTACACTTTAATAATCCATTAAAGATTATTGAAATTAATGTTTTTAGATAACAGCACCTTGGAAATCTGGAATAAGTAGTAGTGGAAGAGCAAGAATCAGCTTAATGTATCATAAACCAGAACTTTTCAACTTTTCAGAAAATTAAGATTGAATATAAAAGACAGAAACTGCTAATCTTGGAGGAATGTTTATATATATATATATATATATATATATATATATATATATATATATATATATATACACACACACACAACTAACTAAACTAAACTTAAACGTAACGTTAACTTAAAC